TGTATATATCAATAAAACCTTTAATTGAGCTTACTTATATGTTTCGCTTCCTTTGCGTTTGCTATTTTGTTAATGCAAGATATTTGCGCTTAACGAGCGAGTTTGACATGCGTTTTCGTATTACAGAGTGCGATGATGCCACATTTGCGTAAAGTAGATGCGAAGGAGATACGAAAACGAATTAGAGAGTACCAATTACGCGATGCGTTACAATTTTTCTCACGCATCGCAATACAGAGTAACCCCCTTATTTTTTATGGCGGACATAAATACTCCTCACTGAACATCGGAATCCGGATATTACAAGGGTTTTAGAAAGAGTACATGTCTGGCTATCGTATGAATAGGATTATTGACTTCACTCAAAAATAAACAAAATGGCGGACCTTTGAAAATGTTATTTTGGAAATTCGCCTACTTTTGACTTGACGATGTTCCCTAATAAATAAAATATTTTTGTAAAAAAAAATTAATATTTGTTCAGATTGCAAGAAAAGTTATTTTTCTACCTTTCATATGACACCCATATCATTCAAATATCTCAAATAGTTCAAAAGTTATAGCATATTTTAGATGGTGTCAAACAATAGATGGCGCTGACGACAAATATTTGGAAACTGATTTTGAATGAATATTATTTCTTAAGAATAATAAATCTCGTTTTTTGAAAACTGTTCTATTTGTTAAGCTAATTTTTTGTTGCAAATATTAAACATTAAATCTTTGGCGAAAAATAGGCAATTCAAGCTTTCGTATGGGATATTACTTTCTATTATTTATTTCGATGCTAGGAACAAATAAACATAATGATGAAATTAATATAGTTATAAACCACTTAATATATTCCCAATGACCCGAAAAGAAAAAGAATATTATGAGCTAAGCATCCCAGTTTGATGCATAATATTCCAAGGCGTTCCAGAGTTATGAACAATCTAAAAAATGTGTGAGTTTCGTGCAACCCTTGCAGTGGTCTGTTGTCAGCGCCATCTATTGATTGATATGATACAAATTCAGCATTTAATGTTTGCACTGGCATATTTGAATCATGTCCGTCAACAGATGACGATGAACCTTTTCCAGGGTTGGAAATTTGCAAAAATATCATATATACTTTGGACTCCTTGGGATATATTGAAAATTAAAACGCGATTGATATAGCTTGGAATATTACCATGTGGGTCATTGAGAATATATTCAGGTGTTTATAATCATGTAATTACATTTATTTCATGATCATTTTGAAATGCCCGTAAATTCGGAATAAATTTTATATGATTTTTTCACAGCTTGGCATCGCGGGCAATGGTGTATATCAGCGCCATCTATTAATTTACACGGCCAATTAAAAACATTTAATGATATGGGTATCATGTGAAAGGTAGAAAGCCAATCTTTTTTAGAACTCAAACAAATTAAAAAAAAAATAGTTGAAAAATAAAAAATTACATTTTTAAATTTTTTTTTTTTTTTTGCTTAGAATGTTTGATTCTGATTAAAAGAAATATCGTCTTTTTAACTTTCATATGACACCAATATAAAAAAAAAATTCATTTGTGGTTTAAAAGTTATTCCAAAATTGCATATTTTGCAATTGCATATTTGAATCATGTGGAACAATAGATGGCGCTGGCGATGGACCATTGTCAGGGTTGTCAAGAAGCGAAACGAACAATATAACCTGTGTATAATTACGTAAATCTCCACAAACCATAGGCTGAATGCATATCTATTTTTCGGCAACACCGACTGACACTTTTTTACTTGTTATATATATTTTCTATGAATATGAAAATAACTTTAAAATAGGTCTGATTCTTTCTATCAAAATTAGCTAGATTTTTATTTTATTTATTCTATAGAAAAAAAATAATACTTCAAAACTGAACCCTTTTTTATTATAGAAATAAAATTTGATTTCAGTGTCTGAGATATCAATAGTATTTTTTTTTTTTTTTTGTATAGAAAGCCTGAAAGTTTAAGACCTTAGGTCTGAAATCTCAAAATAGATATTTATTTTTTGTTTTTATTTAAGAAGAGGTGTTTTCCTCTAAAATAAATTACCTTTATGAGGTCAGATTTTTTGCTACATACAATTCTTTGTTGTTGTGTCAGATTTTGTGTCTATAGAAATGTGTTATACCAAATAATCGATATTGGCTATATCTGTCAGCTTTACTCAATAAAAAAAATCCATCAGTCAATCCTCACGAACAAAAAATTAAAAATCAGTCCCTCAAACAACAATATTTTAATGTTAATGAAAATATAAAAAAATAATATAAATGTTAATTGTTATACAAAAAAATAAATAATAATAGTAATTATAAAATATACATTTAAGTTATCTGTTTTAATTAGCAAAATCTTAAAATATTTATGTTAAAACTCTTGTAATTGTTTTATTTTAAACAACTATTGTTAAGTAAATCTTAATCTTAAATGAAATAAAGATTTGCCACATTAAGGTCAAAGGGGACCACACAACCAAAAAAAAAAAAAAACACATGGAACTTGGACAACATAAAAGAACCCACAATAAAAAAAACTTTTAACCTAGAAAAAAACCTAGTTATTAAATGGGAAATAGATATTTAATGAAAATATTTTAATAAGAAAAAAATTCACATACTTTATATACACACATGACAAAGTATATATACATAGATAGATGAAATATACAACAAAAACAAACAAACAAATAAAAGTATATTTATTTACATATATTGAAATATAAATATATATATATATATATACATATTGTTAGTTAAGCTGGATAAAGAAAACAGAGAGTAATAATTTACATATGTATACAATAAATTTTAAATTAAAATAAGAGGAAATAAAAATAAATATATTATTGAATAAAAAAATATAAATTCATATTTTGCACATAATCTTAAAATGAAAAAAAATATTTTAAAATTTTTAGTATAAATAAAACACGGTGCTACGATCAACATTTAATTGCATTGTGGTCCACTCCAGTCCAAATTTAATTTAATTCTTATAGGCAGGATTTTAGTTAGCAGGAAAAAAACACTTTAAGAAGTAAGGTTATATCGAAACAAATGATTGAATTTTATTTTCAAATTGTCATGGCGAATTTGCCCTCCTGGGTTCTTAAAATATGAATACATCATCCATACCACAGTATTATAATTTTGTTCATACTTCTGATTTTTTTCTCATTATATTCAATTTTATTAATAACATATTATTAACGACATAACCTAACTTTTTTATAAATATCAATAGTACCGTGCAATTGAAGTTGAGACTTATTAGTTGGACTAAAAGAAATCTTACCCATATAAGCTTTCCTCTTTTTTCACCTGTCATCACCTGGCTGTAAGAATATTCCACAATGTGTCATCATTACATAGCTAATTTTAATTAGGTCCAATTGTTTCTTCTTCTTCCTAATGCTACAGACAACAAGAAGAAGAAAATAAATATTAAAAAAAAATAAAATAAAAAAATCATAAAAAATAAATATTATTTTAATTGACATACAAAAGAAAAAAATATAACTGTGAAATTAATCTATAATTGTTTTATGTTAATAATAAGCATACATTTATGTATATGTTATATATAATTGTTGTTATATATAAAATAATTATTATTATAAAAAAAATCTATTATTAAATGTGCACAAATTAATTTGTTTAGTTGTTTTAACAAACAAAAAACAATCTCTGATAGCTGATGGCACAGTGTTCTGAAACATTGTTTCTTTAAACCAAAAAATAAATGAAATTTACAAAAACAAATAAAAAATAATATAATTATCCAAAAAAAACCCCTGTGTATTATGTATAACTTTAATTGTATATTGTATTATGATTCTATAAGATTTTATGTAAATTGAATTCAAAACTAATTTAATTTTTAACTGTTGAAAGCACTGAATTTTAAAACAAAAAATATAATTATAAAAAAACAAATGAAATGATATTCAATTGTAATGTATAAGTTTTATGTTTTAATTATTATTCTATACAAATTCTATGAGAGAAAATAAATTAAACAAAAAAGAAAATAATGAACATAAAAAATAAACAAATAATGAAATAAATGTATTGAGAAATTTTAAAACAAAAATTGTTTTTGTGAAATGATGTTCATTTTTAAATAGATGGGAGGTAAAAATTAATAACAAAAATTTGTTTTTGTCGATATCCCTGGAAATATTTTTTAATACACGTATATATTGTCACTAAAAGAAGTTTTAAAAATGTAAAGCTTGTTGTTAGTCATTGAAAAATATTTTTTTAACCACGTCTGTTGTTTGTCATTGAAAAAATATTTTCTTAAAATCCTTGAGATTTTTTTTTAATTCGCACTTGTTGTTAATCTGTGAAACGCAATTTTTTAATACAACCTTCTTGGTATTAGACTTTTTAACATATTTTTTAAAACGTATATATTTCACTAAAAATAGTTTTAAAAAATTTGTTGTTAGTCATTGAAAATTTTTTTTAATTTTGAAAAAATATTTTCTTTTTTAAATTTTTTTCAAATTCGCACTTGTTGTTTGTCTTTGAAACACAATTTTTTAATCCAACCTTGTTAGCATTAGTCTTTTATAAAATACAATTTTTTAAAAATTATTGTTAAAAGCGGTTAAACAATGTATAAGTCTCCATAAGAAAGGTGTTTCTTCCGACAAATGTCTTCTGCAAGGCATTTGTATACCTCATCAAAGCCCTTATTCTTTTACTAATATTCTTTTATATGTATTTTTTCGATTAATAAAACTTTATTTTCAACTTAATTAGTATTACAACAAAAATTTACAATAATGTAATTTCCAAAAATTATAAAAAAATCTCGCTCTCAAAAAAATTGACAACTTTTTTTGTTTGTGTTCTAGTTAAACTAATGAAATGCATCTGGTTGTTGTGTATTTTTCTCTTCGCAATGTTCATGGAAAACTTTCAAAGCCTCCAAAAATTTTGTTTACACAAAATAAATCTCCCTCTGCTCAACAGAAAAAACGCTTTACATGCCATTGTAAGCTGGGCCACCGCCACCCTCTGGGACAACCCAGTTAATATTTTGCTTAGGATCTTTAATATCACAGGTCTTGCAGTGAATGCAATTTTGGGCATTAATTTGCAACTTCATATTACCACCCTCTTCGTTGGGTACATATTCGTAAACACCGGCTGGGCAGAAACGTTGTTCGGGTCCCTCGTAGACGGCCAAGTTATGATCGACAGGTACACGGTCATCTTTCAATGTTAAATGGGCAGGTTGGTCGCCTTCATGATTGGTACCGGTCAATGCCACCGAAGATAAAAGATCGAAGGAGATTTTACCATCAGGTTTGGGATAGACAATTTGTTTACATTGTGTGGCAGGTTTCAAGGATTCATTGTCAGGGCCAGCATGTTTCAAGGTCCATGGTTCACGGCCACCCATGAAGATGGAGAAACCGCTAAGCACAAGGCCACCATACAAGCCCAAGGGGTTGTGGAAGGAGGGGCGGACATTACGGACTTTGTTCAAATCGCTCCAAATGAAGGAGTTTTTGATCCTAAAAACGAGATTTTGATTAAGAAATATTCAGTTGAAATTATCAAGGTGAAACCTACTTTTCAGGATACGATTTTGGTGTAAAACCAGCAGTTTCTTGAGATTCACCCATAATGGATTCAAAGGCACTTTCGGCAGCCAACATACCTATGATGATTTCATTAGAATTTGCTCAATTAAAAAAATGTATTTCTACTTACCACTCTTCATGGCATAATGGGAACCCTTAATCTTTGGCACATTAAGGAAACCGGCACTGCAACCGATCAAGCAACCACCGGGGAATGTTAATTTACTGGGTATACTCTGAATGCCACCTTCATTGATGGCACGAGCACCATAAGCGATGCGAGTGGCACCCTCAAAGACACTTCTCACTTTAGGATGGGTCTTGAAACGTTGGAATTCCTGGAAGGGACTAATCCAGGGATTTTGATAATCTAAACCTACCACAAAGCCTACAGCAATTGTGGGTGTTGGTTCATTCAAATGATACAAGAAGGAACCGCCATAGGTGAATTTATCCAAGGGCCAGCCAATGGTGTGTTCAACCAAACCGGGTCTAGAAAGAAGAGGAAGAGAAGAGAAAATGAATTAATTATAGCGTCGCTGTTTGAACTATCTATAGGAGACTGTAGAATATTTTCTATCCATAGAAGAGCTAAACTTCTAGAGATCTTAAAAAGTCGTCTATGTGTAGAATGTTTTCTATATATAGAAGTCTATGTGTAGAATGTTTTCTATATATAATCCTCATTTCTTCTATTTATAGTATGCATTTCCAAAAAATCTACCATTGAAGACCTTAAAAGGTCTTGCATGAAAAGTGCTGATATAAAATCTTCCAGAAATGGAAAACCGCGAAAAGATTTTTTTAAATAACTTTTATGGTCGTCTATATATAGCAGACCTTAATAAGTTCTCTACTGACAGAAGAACTTATAAAGACTTCTGTGAACAGAGTACCTTCTAAGATAGAATATCTTCTATTCATCGAAGACCTTAGAAAGTCTTCTATCTATAGAAGACCTTAGATAGTTTTCTATCCATAGAAGGCTTTCTATCTTAGATGGTGGTCTATTCACAGGCGATTTTAAAAGGTATTCTATCTATTGAAATCCTTATAAGGCCTTCTGTGAATAGACTACCTTCTAAGATAGAAAACCTTATATGGATAGAAGACTTTCTGACGTCTTCTACAGATAGAAGAATTTCTAAGGTATTCTATAGTCGTCTAGATATTTATAGACGACCTTAAAATTTTTACTGCCTAAAAAAGTGACTTGGAAGGCCTTCTATCTATAAAATACATTATATACAATAGAAGATCTATCAAAGAACGACTTCCTAGTGGTCTTCCATCTATGAAAGATTTTAGAGTCTTCTGACATGAACTCCATCTTTTCCTAAATTCTCTCAAATACTCACTGATGCTTCTCCGGTTGAATTTCCCAGATTTCCTTCAAACCAATACCATAGGTCTGCGGCTGACTACCCTCATTGAGTTTGAATTGTTGCATCAATTGTTTGCTCAAATGACCACGACAACCTTCGGCAAAAATGGTAGTCTTAGCATGCAATTCCATACCACGAGCAAAGGTATCCTTTGGTGAACCATCCTTGGCAATACCAACATCATTGGTGGCAACACCCTTAACACTGCCATCTTCATGGAACAATACTTCGGAGGCGGCACATCCAGGATAGATTTCAACACCCAAAGCTTCAGCTTGTTCACCCAACCACTTGACTAAATGTCCCAAACGTACAACATAATTGCCATGATTATCCATGGGCCATCCCTTGAAAATTGGAATAGAGAAACGGCCAGTTTCGGTGAGGAAGGAGAATTTATCAGTGCTAACTGGAGTGTTCAATGGAGCACCCATTTCTTTCCAATCGGGGAAAAGTTCATTCAATGAAACGGGATCCATAACAGCACCCGACAGAATGTGACCACCAACTTCAGCGGATTTCTCCACAACACAGACACGAATTTCCTTTTCCTGTTCGGCAGCCAATTGTTTGGCACGAATAGCCGCTGACATACCGGCTGGACCACCACCGACTATGACAATGTCGACTTCATCGACATAACGTTCCATATCGACATCTGTTAGAGATACGGGAGATTAAGAAGATATTTAGTAAACGTTTGAGTCAAATTTCAAAATAAAATACTTACCCTTCCAACGTTCATCCTTGTCTCTGGGACAAACAGTGTAGTGAGTGGTGATTTTGGGATATTTCACGGCATCGGAAATGCTGCGAATTGAGGTAGGTGTTATGAGTTTATGAACTGAAAAGATATAAAAGAGAAATGTTTATACAAAATTAAGAAAAAACTGATAAATATATAATAACAAAGTGGATTGATACAGCAGCAATAAAATTATAATTTAGAAAACAATGTTAGAATGTATTGAAATCCTAAAAAGGTTTAATCTATATTTAGAAGATCTTAAAGTATACGCATATAGAAAAATATCTCTATGTCCGAGGGCGTAAAATTTAATCTTAAATCATAATAAACATTACGAAAGTAAAATTAATATTCGGCTGTGATTGAAAATAATTGATTTTTGATAACAAATCCAATCCACTTGAACCACAAGCTATCAATAATTCTTACAACTTTTATTTGCCTACTACTGATATTGATCATCAACGATGGCCCCAGACATTATGTTAATTGTTGTGTTTTTTTCCAAGATGTGTTGCTTTTTCTTGCCAATTTTTATTTTGTTTACTTATGATATTTGTTGTGGATTTTGTTGTTGTAGCTTCTAAATTTTCCTATGGCTGATAAAATTAGACGAAAGATAAACTGAGACGGACGAAATTAAAACTTGTGGCTGATAACAGGAGATTTGATAAGAGAAATGACAGAATTGCGGGTGCCAATCGGTTAAGATACTGGGAGGAGAAGTCACCTTATTTAATTCAAGAACAAATATAAATTTAGAAGTGGGCCAATGGAAACATACAATTTATTTCCATAAGGATGGCATAAATTAAATAAAAAAAATAATCCTTAATAATGTTCTGAAAAAAGTTATAACTTAATATAAAAAATTATCCTTTTAACATTATAATGTTCTGAAATCAGGAAAGGGGCTTCTTTATTTAATTATCCATATAGTTTTAAATGTCACGGCGTTAATGGACGGTTGAACAGGATCACATAATGTATATTAACTAACCTAACTTGGAATACTATTTCTGCTTCATCCGAGATTTGTGCACCAACCGACATTTATCAATACCTATGTTCGACTTTTCCCCACCCTTAAATTTCACATGCTGTCATTATCGATTCATAAGTTCTTGACCTTTTTCTATGCAGACATCGGTCATTAACTACGAATTTCGAAAAAGTAAAAAATTATCAATCGGGTTTGCCGACAGAAATATAATCCCAGCCTTCGTTGAAGAGGTTCCAGGTGAGGTTGCCCTATAGACCCCCCCCCCTTATAATTTAAAGTAGATTTTGAAAAAAATACAATTTTCTAAAATTTGACACCTTGTGGTCGAGGTACCTGAAGGAATTGACCAACGGGTTCTATATTCAGTCTTGATATTTGTAAGGTAAATATATTACCACGTGCAAACTTTGGATGTCATATAGGATATTACGTTAGTTTTATGTGAGATTTACAAGTTTTCATTTTTTTTAATATTAAAAAGTAATGGATCATTGGGTCCCACGATATAGGCTTGGTAAAGATAACAGGCATTGCAAAGTTTGTTTCACATGATATTATAAAATAAATTTTCAGCAAAATTTTGACAATTTTGTAGGTAGGTACAAACCTAGCAAACTGCTAGATTTGGACGAAATCGGTTACTCCCTTCAAGGGTTATCGTGCGAATCAGCCAGACGGACATTTGTAAATCGACTCCAAATTGTCTGAAACGTATTTGGCACAAAGAAACATGGGTTCTAAAACCAATATTTCGATGATGTACATTTTACCGTAGCCATAAAGATGAGGGTATAAAAATATTCTTTTCAAAATATACGCTCACGGCAGGTTATTATTTCTAAAGGATCGGAGACTTGGCGAATTGTTAGAAAATATTTCTTAAAAATCCGTGCTTATGGATGTATTTTAGAAAGACTACATATCTGTATCCGATATGAACTAGAATTATTGACTTCGCTTGAAAATTATCAAAATGGCGGACATAGCAAAATTCTTTTTTTTTAGAAAAAAAAAAACAAACTGGTATATAGAAAGATTTTTACCCATTGGGTTTATCCTAGTTTATACGATAGCTATGTAGGTACATAATAACTTGTTACAATTCCGAACCGATTGAGTTAATGGTTTTTGAGTTATGGTGCCCGCTACTCGTAAGAACACTGTTTCCATAAAAAAAGTGTTTAAAGTTTTATGCTGACAATAAATCGTCTATATCATCAACATACTTTTTGGTTTATTTACTCAGTAACTTTGTATAATTGTACCATGATTCATTTTTCAAATAACACATTTGACAGTCAACGAAGACTTCGAATTCGCCTCCCTGTTAAGCTTTTAAGTAAACCTTGAAGATATACTTCAAGATATTTTAAGTAGACATAATAACTTGTTATTTTAAGTAGACATTCTTGAGAATAGGTTCATAATAAATAAAAATCGAATTTTTGAAACCGAAAATGAGGTGGGTTCCCTTAAGAAAATATGCCTTTGAGGATCTGCTATAAAAATATAAGGGTTTTTGTTGGTTCTTAAAAAAAAACAATCAAATAATCTTTAAAGGTCAAGATTCAATTTTGAAAAAAAATATCATTTAAAAATCCTAATAATTATTGATCCTTGCAAATGTGAAGTGGGATATGGGTTTATGTTTGTTGGCTACTGGAAATTGATTTACATTTTGATATATCTTGAGCTATAAGCTTAATATAAAAAAATATAAAAATATAAAAATCATACGGTTATACTACAAAACACGCTGGCGCTTATGTTTTGTTGTTTTTGTATTTGAAAGCAATAGTGTAGGCCAACGAGACGACACATTGAAGACGTCTAGATCAATCTAAAATATGAGACGTTTTTTTGCTCTCAATCAAGCTAATTGTATACAACAGATTCCTTGATTTATGAAGTTGAGGATGCGAACCTCTCCAAAATATTTGGGTAATTTTTGGGATCAAACATATTGTATGAGAAACATTTCTTCGAGAGAATATAAACCTTCTTTGAAACCGATCCAGTTGTTTGGTTATACAATATGTAGATAACAACGGAACGAACATAGGTATGTTGTCGGGACAGACACTTTTTTCTTATAATTCTAAAAGGAGAAACAAAAATTAATTAGGAAATCTAAGTTTAAATTTTAAAAAGGCTTCATTTATGAATTATACTTTTTTAACTATCCACAGACCTTTGGAATCCACACAGCTGTAGAAATTGTTTGTTCGCACGACCAGCACCTATCAAGATAACCCCTGTTTTCAATTGCAGTATTTGTTTCATATTAGATAATATAAATATTTTATTTTGCAGACAATATCAATAAATTTTCTAGGGCAACCTGACTCCACAAACACTATCCATTGGCATACTGGAAACGTGCATCCAATTTGTAGATTGTTTGCCCAAACTCAATCACTTGCTAAAACATCTTTTAACTTGTGCTAATTGAATGTTTGGCCGAATGATAAGAGAGAGAATCAATAAATTTGCATTTATTGAATTAAATATAAAAATAGTTTTTTTTTCATTTGCAAAACAAAAAACGGCGAGCACACGCCTACACTTCACTTAGCACATTCGTTGTGTTGTTTTTCTATTATCAATCATTTTTGGTGTCTATTATTTTTTCTAATATTTTTAAGATTTTTTTTAATTAAATTATTATGTAATGCCGGACGACAACATATGAAGAATGTAGTGTCGCAAAAGCGGGGCAATACAATAATAAAAAAAACATGCATAAATTATAAAACTGATAAAATTTTCCACTCAATGATCCGCCACTACTTACCTCTGGCCAATTTTAACAGAGCCGACATCTTGAGGGGCTACTTAGAGTCTAGGAATATCGCCAGCAACAAATCAATTGATCTTCCTTCGAAGGCACTTTAGCACATACAAAATATAAAAACTGTGGTGTGGGAGAAAGTGTAACAAATAGTTTAGCAACAACAACAAAAGCACCTTCTTTGAATGCACAATTAACAATATTAAATAAAAAGTAATAATAATAGAAATAAATTAAGTTACAATTTAAACACGAATATTTGTTCTTTCTCTCGCCCACTCTACGCTACACTGACTGGCGACTGACCGACTTTGCTCTGCTCGAGCCTGCAAAAAGAGTCCGCCACCGTACCGTTCTGAGATAAACTAAACGTTGCGTACTTTCAAATGCGACGCACACAAACGGACACACATGAACAATTGCCGATGGCTGCTCTCCCATTAAGAAAATAAAAAAACAATAAAAAAATTAATAATAAATGATTGGCAAACGAAAAAGAGATAATTGAACTTTAGACTGTTGATTGTTTTCCTCTTCTATTTGTTACAATTGTCTTCCCCTTCTTCCCCAGCTAGCTATTACATGTTCTTTGTTTACATCTTTATTTACATTGTCTTACTTTTATTAGAATTTGCACAAATAATGAGAATTTATTTATAACAATTCGACACGTTAACAAATGATTCTCGATGAACAACAACAAATTGTATTTGTTGTTGTTTTTTTCCTTGAAAAATATTCATTAATAAATCCACGCCTCAGTTGGCCCTTGAAAAATATTCATTAATAAATCCACGCCTCAGTTGGCCCTTGAAAAATATTCTTTAATAAATCCACGCCTCAGTTGGCCCTTGAAAAATATTCTTTAAAAAAATCCACGCCTCAGTTGGCCCTTGAAAAATATTCTTTAATAAATCCACGCCTCAGTTGGCCCTTGAAAAATATTCTTTAATAAATCCACGCCTCAGTTGGCCCTTGAAAAATATTCTTTAATAAATCCACGCCTCAGTTGGCCCTTGAAAAATATTCTTTAATAAATCCACGCCTCAGTTGGCCCTTGAAAAATATTCTTTAATAAATCCACGCCTCAGTTGGCCCTTGAAAAATATTCTTTAATAAATCCACGCCTCAGTTGGCCCTTGAAAAATATTCTTTAATAAATCCACGCCTCAGTTGGCCCTTGAAAAATATTCTTTAATAAATCCACGCCTCAGTTGGCCCTTGAAAATAATCCACGCCTCAGTTGGCCCTTGAAAAATATTCTTTAATAAATCCACGCCTCAGTTGGCCCTTGAAAAATATTCTTTAATAAATCCACGCCTCAGTTGGCCCTTGAAAAATATTCTTTAATAAATCCACGCCTCAGTTGGCCCTTGAAAAATATTCTTTAATAAATCCACGCCTCAGTTGGCCCTTGAAAAATATTCTTTAATAAATCCACGCCTCAGTTGGCCCTTGAAAAATATTCTTTAATAAATCCACGCCTCAGTTGGCCCTTGAAAAATATTCTTTAATAAATCCACGCCTCAGTTGGCCCTTGAAAAATATTCTTTAATAAATCCACGCCTCAGTTGGCCCTTGAAAAATATTCTTTAATAAATCCACGCCTCAGTTGGCCCTTGAAAAATATTCTTTAATAAATCCACGCCTCAGTTGGCCCTTGAAAAATATTCTTTAATAAATCCACGCCTCAGTTGGCCCTTGAAAAATATTCTTTAATAAATCCACGCCTCAGTTGGCCCTTGAAAAATATTCTTTAATAAATCCACGCCTCAGTTGGCCCTTGAAAAATATTCTTTAATAAATCCACGCCTCAGTTGGCCCTTGAAAAATATTCTTTAATAAATCCACGCCTCAGTTGGCCCTTGAAAAATATTCTTTAATAAATCCACGCCTCAGTTGGCCCTTGAAAAATATTCTTTAATAAATCCACGCCTCAGTTGGCCCTTGAAAAATATTCTTTAATAAATCCACGCCTCAGTTGGCCCTTGAAAAATATTCTTTAATAAATCCACGCCTCAGTTGGCCCTTGAAAAATATTCTTTAATAAATCCACGCCTCAGTTGGCCCTTGAAAAATATTCTTTAATAAATCCACGCCTCAGTTGGCCCTTGAAAAATATTCTTTAATAAATCCACGCCTCAGTTGGCCCTTGAAAAATATTCTTTAATAAATCCACGCCTCAGTTGCCTCAGTTGGCCCTTGAAAAATATTCTTTAATAAATCCACGCCTCAGTTGGCCCTTGAAAAATATTCTTTAATAAATCCACGCCTCAGTTGGCCCTTGAAAAATATTCTTTAATAAATCCACGCCTCAGTTGGCCCTTGAAAAATATTCTTTAATAAATCCACGCCTCAGTTGGCCCTTGAAAAATATTCTTTAATAAATCCACGCCTCAGTTGGCCCTTGAAAAATATTCTTTAATAAATCCACGCCTCAGTTGGCCCTTGAAAAATATTCTTTAATAAATCCACGCCTCAGTTGGCCCTTGAAAAATATTCTTTAATAAATCCACGCCTCAGTTGGCCCTTGAAAAATATTCTTTAATAAATCCACGCCTCAGTTGGCCCTTGAAAAATATTCTTTAATAAATCCACGCCTCAGTTGGCCCTTGAAAAATATTCTTTAATAAATCCACGCCTCAGTTGGCCCTTGAAAAATATTCTTTAATAAATCCACGCCTCAGTTGGCCCTTGAAAAATATTCTTTAATAAATCCACGCCTCAGTTGGCCCTTGAAAAATATTCTTTAATAAATCCACGCCTCAGTTGGCCCTTGAAAAATATTCTTTAATAAATCCACGCCTCAGTTGGCCCTTGAAAAATATTCTTTAATAAATCCACGCCTCAGTTGGCCCTTGAAAAATATTCTTTAATAAATCCACGCCTCAGTTGGCCCTTGAAAAATATTCTTTAATAAATCCACGCCTCAGTTGGCCCTTGAAAAATATTCTTTAATAAATCCACGCCTCAGTTGGCCCTTGAAAAATATTCTTTAATAAATCCACGCCTCAGTTGGCCCTTGAAAAATATTCTTTAATAAATCCACGCCTCAGTTGGCCCTTGAAAAATATTCTTTAATAAATCCACGCCTCAGTTGGCCCTTGAAAAATATTCTTTAATAAATCCACGCCTCAGTTGGCCCTTGAAAAATATTCTTTAATAAATCCACGCCTCAGTTGGCCCTTGAAAAATATTCTTTAATAAATCCACGCCTCAGTTGGCCCTTGAAAAATATTCTTTAATAAATCCACGCCTCAGTTGGCCCTTGAAAAATATTCTTTAATAAATCCACGCCTCAGTTGGCCCTTGAAAAATATTCTTTAATAAATCCACGCCTCAGTTGGCCCTTGAAAAATATTCTTTAATAAATCCACGCCTCAGTTGGCCCTTGAAAAATATTCTTTAATAAATCCACGCCTCAGTTGGCCCTTGAAAAATATTCTTTAATAAATCCACGCCTCAGTTGGCCCTTGAAAAATATTCTTTAATAAATCCACGCCTCAGTTGGCCCTTGAAAAATATTCTTTAATAAATCCACGCCTCAGTTGGCCCTTGAAAAATATTCTTTAATAAATCCACGCCTCAGTTGGCCCTTGAAAAATATTCTTTAATAAATCCACGCCTCAGTTGGCCCTTGAAAAATATTCTTTAATAAATCCACGCCTCAGTTGGCCCTTGAAAAATATTCTTTAATAAATCCACGCCTCAGTTGGCCCTTGAAAAATATTCTTTAATAAATCCACGCCTCAGTTGGCCCTTGAAAAATATTCTTTAATAAATCCACGCCTCAGTTGGCCCTTGAAAAATATTCTTTAATAAATCCACGCCTCAGTTGGCCCTTGAAAAATATTCTTTAATAAATCCACGCCTCAGTTGGCCCTTGAAAAATATTCTTTAATAAATCCACGCCTCAGTTGGCCCTTGAAAAATATTCTTTAATAAATCCACGCCTCAGTTGGCCCTTGAAAAATATTCTTTAATAAATCCACGCCTCAGTTGGCCCTTGAAAAATATTCTTTAATAAATCCACGCCTCAGTTGGCCCTTGAAAAATATTCTTTAATAAATCCACGCCTCAGTTGGCCCTTGAAAAATATTCTTTAATAAATCCACGCCTCAGTTGGCCCTTGAAAAATATTCTTTAATAAATCCACGCCTCAGTTGGCCCTTGAAAAATATTCTTTAATAAATCCACGCCTCAGTTGGCCCTTGAAAAATATTCTTTAATAAATCCACGCCTCAGTTGGCCCTTGAAAAATATTCTTTAATAAATCCACGCCTCAGTTGGCCCTTGAAAAATATTCTTTAATAAATCCACGCCTCAGTTGGCCCTTGAAAAATATTCTTTAATAAATCCACGCCTCAGTTGGCCCTTGAAAAATATTCTTAGGGAGCCTTGAAAAAATATTCTTGAATAAATCCACGCCTTATGGGAGCCTTGAAAAAATATTCTTTAATAAATCCACGCCTTATGGGAGCCTTGAAAAAATATTCTTTAATAAATCCACGCCTTATGGAAGCCTTGAAAAAGTATTCTGTAATAAATCCTAGCCCTTTTGGCGACCTTTGAATAAAATTCAAAATAAAATCCAATATTTTTTCATTTTGCATCATTAAAATATATAACTTAATTTGTTTAATTTTTTATTATTTAATACAATAAATATCTTCGGTACATTCTGTTTTTTTGATTTTTAATACTTCATACATAAATACAATGTTAAACATATTTTTAATAAATTTACAACATATTTTGTTTTTATTTATTTTTTTCTTTTTAAGTGAATTATTTTATCCAGCCCTGTTAAAAAATTCACTTATAGCACGAATTTTCTATTCTATAGAACTGAAAAAATTATGGCACTAATTTGACTTGATTCTGTAATTATTATTTTTTTTTTTTGTAATTTTTTTCTCCTTTTTTCTGTATTATTTCAGTTTATATAAAATTCAATTCAGTTGTTTATTTTTTTATTTACAAAGTTTTCCCTAGGATCGTTCATGTTCCAAGTTTTGTGGTTGTTTGTGTATTTTTTCAATAAAATTTCCTTTAATTTGTCAT